ATTTAGTAAGACGATAAAGGTGAATCTAATCTAATATTCCAGCAGTGTGTTTGTCTGCTGGTCCCAGAGTCAGGAATAAACATCGTCTCAGATTTATGCAGCTAAAATATGGAATCTTCCAGAAAATGTGAGACATGCTGTGACGATGTTCAAATATTCTGCAACTTCACTCTTTTTTATGCACTGTGATTAGTTTAATCTCTCTGGGTGCTCTCTGGGTGCTCTCTGGGTGCTCTCTGGGTCCTCTCTGGGTGCTCTTTGGGTGCTCTCTGGGTCCTCTCTGGGTCCCCTCTGGGTCCTCTCTGGGTCCTCTCTGGGTCCCCTCTGGGTCCTCTCTGGGTCCTCTCTGGGTCCTCTCTGGGTCCCCTCTGGGTCCTCTCTGGGTCCTCTCTGGGTCCTCTCTGGGTCCTCTCTGGGTCCTCTCTGGGTCCTCTCTGGGTGCTCTCTGGGTCCTCTCTGGGTGCTCTTTGGGTGCTCTCTGGGTCCTCTCTGGGTGCTCTTTGGGTGCTCTCTGGGTCCTCTCTGGGTCCACTCTGGGTCCTCTCTGGGTCCTCTCTGGGTCCTCTCTGGGTGCTCTCTGGGTCCTCTCTGGGTCCACTCTGGGTCCTCTCTGGGTCCTCTCTGGGTCCTCTCTGGGTGCTCTCTGGGTGCTCTCTGGGTCCTCTCTGGGTGCTCTTTTGGTGCTCTCTGGGTCCTCTCTGGGTCCCCTCTGGGTCCTCTCTGGGTCCTCTCTGGGTCCCCTCTGGGTCCTCTCTGGGTCCTCTCTGGGTCCTCTCTGGGTCCTCTCTGGGTCCTCTCTGGGTGCTCTCTGGGTCCTCTCTGGGTGCTCTCTGGGTGCTCTCTGGGTCCTCTCTGGGTCCCCTCTGGGTCCTCTCTGGGTCCTCTCTGGGTCCTCTCTGGGTCCTCTCTGGGTTCCCTGCTCCTGTGACCTCACACTTTCCTCCATCTTAAATAAACACGGGACGCGACACGTTGAGAGTATTTATAATCACTTCTGAAATGTTTGAACAGTGAATTCTTGGACTGAGGTTTGTGTACGTTGTAAAAGTCAAATCCGTCTGGAACAGGTCACTGTTGGCTCATTCCTGATCCAGTCTCTCGGCTCTGTTTTGGCTCGGCTGTCGCTCAACAAGAGACCAGAGAGACCAGAAAGAGACCAGAGGTTAGAGAGAGAGACCAGAAAGAGACCAGTGATTAGAGAGAGAGACCGGAGAAAGAGACCTGAAAGAGCCCACAGAGAGAGGGAGAGAGAGAGGGAGAGAGAAACCAAATCGAAATCAAAGAGACCACAGATAGAGAGAGAGAGACAGAGAGAGCGAGATAAACCAGACAGACCAAAAAGAGGGAGACCTGAGAGAGCGAAAGACCAGAGAGAGAAACCTGAGAGAAACCTGAGAGAGAGAGAGAGAGAGAGAAAGAGACTAGAGAAACCTGAGAGAGACAGAGAGAGAGAGAGAGCTAAAGAAATCAGATGGAGACCAGAGAGAGAGTCCACAGATTGACCTGATAGAGAGACCAGAGAGGGAGAGACCAGAGAGAGAGAGAGAGAGAGACTGACCAGACAGATAGACAAGAGCGATAAACCAGAGAGAAAGATAGACCACAACATAGAGAGAGAGACCAGAGAGAGAGAGAGAGATAGACCACATAGAGAGAGACTAGAGAGAGAGAGACTAGAAAGAGCAGAGGTTGTTTTGTCTGGTCTGTCTCTCAAAGCCACAGATCGTCTGCAGATAAACATAGCCTCTGTGGGTGGACTCACAGGGGCATGTTTTTGTTCAAGTTTCCCATGAAACTTGTCAAAGTGAAATATCTTCAAAAACATTGTGATCTGAGATGGAGTTGGATTCCATGTGACCAGTGTGGGAAACTCGACTCAAGTGAAAAGGTCAGGAGCCAAATAAGGACTTTCACTTTGGCTATTTTTACATCAATTAGGTTGGAATGAGAGCTTCGTCTGACTGTATCTCTGGAATAATGTTGGGGTCAGGCTCATGAGTGTTTTGTGACTTCTAATTAATATGGACTAAATAAGATTAGACTTTATGCAACTGCAGTGGGGAATTTTCAATGTTGTAGCGCACATACAGGACAGTAGTAAGCAGAGGTGTGGACTCGAGTCATGTGACTTGGACTCGAGTCAGACTCGAGTCATGATTTTGATGACTTTAGACTCGACTTGACCAAATATAAAAAGACTTGCAACTCGACTTGGACTTTAACATCTGACTTTCACTTGGACTTGCGCCAATTGACTTGCAAAGACTTGCGTAACCCGGGCAATTTTTACCTTTCTCCGCATCTCTCTTTCTATCTATGCCGTCTCTGAAGAAACAAAGCCTCGCGGTAGTTGTAGCGCTCGCGCGAGAGTTCGAACGTGAGTTCCCCGCAGTTCGCGCAGCAACACTTCCCTAAACAAGCACACTGCATTCACCGGTGGGTGTTGTCTAGGGGAGCTGGAAATGAGCGAGCTGCAGGTATTTATCGCGACCTAACGTCATACTTTGTTCTACAAACCGTTATTGATATGCTTTCACTACAGGCGCCTCATACAATTGAATCGACGCAGTTGTCACACTCTGTGCCGTGTTTTAAAGAGGAACTGGTGAGTCAAACTAGCGCTAGCCTGCGCTGCTCTGTTGGCTCTTTCTTATATTTTTCTGTGTGGGCGCCGAGGCCTATTATTATGAGTATGTTTTTGCTGTGCTCCTCCTGCTAAAGTTTGCATACATTAGATCGTTGTTTTGATTATGTGCACTAAGCTAGATTAATATTTGCACTATTGTTTATGGTGCATTGATATGAGAATCAGTGCTTTGACTGATTGAATTAATTTATATGAGACATTTTATTATGTAATGATATATTGGTAATTATGAGATATTGCTAATGCTGGTCCAGTTGATGGCGAGCTGCCCCAGGTCCAAAGCCTAGACCCCTCATACTACCCCTATTCTACAGTAGGACATTTGGAACAATAACCACTACGGACATTAAACTGATTATATAGATACAGGTCCTAGCCCAATACTCATATTCATATATGCTGCACTTGCTACTTCCCATTAAAAACCCCAAAGATAAAAAGTATGTTGACACGGACTGCTCTGATTTTATGTGTGGTCTGTGCATGTGTAACTGAGCCTGCATCTGGCACAACATCCAATTAGATCACGTAGATAGTTTTGATTTATCAGCAGCCAACGACATGGAACAAACTGTTAGTCCATGGGTCAGAGACCAACGAGAATGCACCAGCAAAATGATTCCTAACATTATTTTGTTTGCCTACAAAAGTACGTGGAGACCAACAAGAAACAAATCGCGGTCAAAAAGACTCGAGAGGACTCGAAAGTCAAACCGTAGGACTTGGGACTGACTTGAGATTTGTTGGCCTTTGACTTGGACTCGACTCGGGACTTGCCTGTCTTGACTCGTGACTTGACTCGGGACTTGAGGGCAATGAATTGAGACTGACTTGTGACTTGCTAAACAATGACTTTGTCCCATCTCTGGTAGTAAGAACACACATGATATAAGCAGCTGCTATGTTTCAATATCTATCTATCCATCCATCCATTCATCCATCCATCCATCCATCCATTCATCCACCCATCTATCCATCCACCCATCCATCCATCCACCCATCCATCCATCCACCCATTCATCTATCCATCCATCCATTCATCCATCCATCCATCCATCCATTCTTCCATTCCTCCATCCATCCATCCATCCATCTTTCCATTCATCCATCCTTCCATCCATCCATCCATTCTTCCATTCCTCCATTCCTCCATCCATCCATCCATCCATCCATTCTTCCATTCCTCCATCCATCCATCCATCCATCTTTCCATCAATCCATCCATCCATCCTTCCATCCATCTTTCCATCTTTCCATCCATCTATCCATTCATCTATCCGTCCATTCACCAACCATTCATCCATCCATCCATTCCTCCATTCATCCATCCATCCATCCATCCATCCATCCACCCATTCATCCATCTTTCCATCCATCCATTCATCCTTCCATTTTTCCATCCATCCATCCATCTATCCATTCATCTATCCATCCATTCACCATCCATTCCTCCATCCATCCATCCATTCCTCCATCCATCCATCCATCTTTCCATCTTTCCATCCATTTATCCATTCATCTATCCATTCATCCATCCATCCTTCCATCTTTCCATTCATCTATCTATCCATTCATCTATCCATTCATCTACTGTATCTATCCATTCATCCATCTATCCATCCATCCATCATCCTTCCATCCTTCCATCCATCCGTCTCTATTGCAAACGTATACACAATACGTAAAGGGCAGTTATAAAAAGTGGATAAAGTTAAATTCAGAGGAGTTTCTGAAGTTGCAGTGTTGCACATTGCACACAGGTACAGTGTGTACTTATTTACAGATGAATCAGCAGTTCTCATTGTACAGTCTGACAGCAGGGAGGGAGAAGGTAGGGAAAAGCTCAACCAGCGTCATGAGCTGGGAATTAGAATTTCCTTTAAATCTGTAAGTGTTTTTTTATGTATACATGCATAGGTACTGTAGATACTTTATTGATCCTCAGTGAGAGAAAACCAAAACTACCTCAAATAAAGGTTACTCAAAAAACACTACCTCAAACAGACGACGCTGAGAAGTGTTTTCAGGTCAGATCTGGTCTTGGGGCTGGATTGGACCAGGCTTAGCTGTGTCTCCTGGTGCTCCCTGCGGTCTCTCATCACTAAACATAACCAGGCCACGCACTGCTTAGCTTCTGCACCGAACTCAATCCCCACTACACCCAGTTATAAGCCACATTTGTACTTATTCATCAGGTACGGACCCCTCTGCAGAGCCTGAAGTGTCTGAGCAAAGCAGAACCAGCGTCTGGCCGTCACTCTCTCAATTCTGCTGTCAGATTCAAAACATTTCTCGCTCAAGAGGAATCCACACGACAGAGAGAGCTCCTCCATCACCCGCAGGAAGAACCCGCATGAGGAACCCGCAGAAAGAACCTGCAGGAAGAACCCGCAGGAAGAACCCGCAGGAGGAACCCGCAGGAGGAACCCGCAGGAGGAACCCGCAGAAAGAACCCGCAGGAAGAACCCGCAGGAAGAACCCGCAGGAGGAACCCGCAGGAGGAACCCGCAGGAGGAACCCGCAGAAAGAACCCGCAGGAAGAACCCGCAGGAAGAACCCGCAGGAGGAACCCGCAGGAGGAACCCGCAGGAGGAACCCGCAGGAAGAACCCGCAGGAAGAACCCGCAGAAAGAACCCGCAGGAAGAACCCGCAGGAGGAACCCGCAGGAGGAACCCGCAGGAGGAACCCGCAGGAAGAACCCGCAGGAGGAACCCGCAGAAAGAACCCGCAGGAAGAACCCGCAGGAAGAACCCGCAGGAGGAACCCGCAGGAGGAACCCGCAGGAAGAACCCGCAGGAAGAACCCGCAGGAGGAACCCGCAGGAGGAACCCGCAGGAAGAACCCGCAGGAGGAACCCGCAGGAGGAACCCGCAGGAGGAACCCGCAGGAGGAACCCGCATGAGGAACCCAGTGAGACCGGTGCACAGCCTCAGGAGGAAAGGTCATCCTCCAAACAGAGAGATTTGATTATGGCATAAACGACTGCGTCTTGTGGACTGGAACATTAGAACACGCGCCTCCTGCTTCTTCTTTCATCACAACGACTGAGCAGAGTCTGTGCAGAAACCAGTCTTTATACTTTGACCTCCTCGTTTCTCTCTGCTCTGACCTCCTCCCTGAGTGTGTTTCTCATCCCTCTCTTTGTGAGCCTGGTGGTCACACAACAAGTCAAAGTCCTACTGCAGATGGGTTTGTTCACACTAAAAGTGGCCTGTTTATTTGATGTGACAGACGATTTGACAGAATGAGCAGAAGTTTGTTACATATTTTCAGATCCACGTTTGATTCAGAGATTATTATTTTTGTACATAGTAGAAAAAAGTAATGCTTTCATATAGTAAACCACTTAAATGTAAACCCAAACCATTTTTTTTCTCAAGTTAATTTTTTAGAAAAAAATTAACAAAAACCGTCACATCCGTTACACATTCACGATTGATGATTCCTTTTTAAATCAAGTGATTTACTGATGTTTTTTTAACCATGTTAATCACTTCATCTGCCGACTGAGGACGCAGCAGAACGGTCCAATCAGAGGCCGGTTTGTTTAAAATGTCAGGAAAAAAATATTTGTCAACTTTTCCTTTTGATTTTATCCACACGATCTCTTTGATCTGTCTGTGTTTGAAATCTGTTTTTCCACTCTCTGATAGGGGTGGGAACCTAAGGGTACCTCACGATACGATACGATACACGATACAAAGCTCACGATAACGATTTTATCACGATATGACAATTATCGATATATTGGTCAGAAATATACAATATGCCAATTTATGGCATAAATGAAAGAAAAAATACACCTCATTTCATAATAAATGGAATGGAGATGCGTAATGTAGCCATTTATTAAGTATTGATACCATCCATCCATCGATTTTCTTCCCCTTAATCCATTTCTGGGTCGGGGGGGTGGCAGTCAGAGCTGCACCCAGTCCACAGAGCACCAGCCCCTCACTGATCCTCCTGCAGGTGGTGAGTCCACAGGAGCTGAGATCTTTCAGTGGGAGCTTCAGGCAAAGTGGGGTTAAGTGTCTTGCGCAAGGACACAACGACAGCAGTCATCAGTGGGAGTCGTGAAGTAGGTCTTACTGTGGGCTCGAACCCACAACCTTCAGGCCCAAAGGCCAATGTTCTACCAACTGAGCTACTGTCGCCCCCAGTAATGATACCAATTAAAAAAAAAAAAAAATTGTATAAAAAATATATATAAATAATCGATATTGATACTTGGCAAATGCATATCGATAATCGAATCGTGGGAGAAAGTATCGCGATATATTGATATATCGTCACACCCGTACTCTCTGATACGGTATACATTTTAGTTTTAGTTTTAACCTTTTAAAGTCCAGATATTGTAATTGACACTTTCCTGTGAATGCACTTTAAGTTTTAGTCATATTATATATTTCAGTGTTTCCCAAACCTTTTGTGGTCGTGGAAAATCTTTTTGGTGAAAAAGTACGATCACCCCAACCACGAGCAGCTGAGACTGATGCAGACATGAAACTTTGCAGCTTTTAGAATTAAGGCAAAGTCCATCCATCCATCCATTTTCTTCCCCTTAATCCATTTCAGGGTCGGGGGGTGGCAGTCAGAGCACCAGCCCCTCACTGATCCTCCTGCAGGTGGTGAGTCCACAGGAGCTGAGATCTTTCAGTGGGAGCTTCAGGCAAAGTGGGGTTAAGTGTCTTGCCCAAGGACACAACGACAGCAGTCATCAGTGGGAGTCGTGAAGTAGGTCTTATGGTGGGCTTGAACCCACGACCTTCAGGCCCAAAGGCCAATGCTCTACCAACTGAGCCACTGTCGCCCCAGTTGCCTTTGTAAGGCAAAGTCATTCTAATTAAAGTAGATATATAGAAAAATAAACAAGTGCCAAAAAATCAGACACACACAAACACACACAGACACACACAAACACACACAGACACACACACACACACAGAAACGCACACACAAACACAGACACACACACATACACACAAACACACACACATACACACACAGACACACACACACACAAACACAGGCACACACAGACACACACACACACACACACACAGACACACACACACTCACACACAGGCACACACACAGACACACAGACACACACACACTCACACACACACACGCACACACACACACACACACACACAGACACACTCACACATACACGTTTTTGTTACCTGGTGGGTCCCTTTGACAGGGCCGTTCAGAATGGGACCCATAGACATAATCTTTTTTTACTGGGACTACTTTAAGTAATACAAAACAGTCAATAGAAACCAAACAACTATTTTAAAGGAATTTTATTTTAGATTTTTTTTTCGAATTGCAGTGATTCTATTTTTGACATAGAATTTAATGCCACTCCATGTCCGATGTCTAAGGTCATCTGGTGAGGCATTAATGCAGGCCAGGCAGTGAGACTTCCCAGGGACCTTTCCAGTCTGTATGAAAGGTGTCATGGTCTTCTCCACAGCCTTCACCTCAGATGCAGACCATGGCTTTCTTACACGTTCTAGGGAGAGAAATAAAAATATATTAGCAATATACACTCCCAGGGTTAGGACCAAGCAGCCTGGCTGTAATCCCCCACCTGGTACACTTACCAGAAGGGGCACTGCCACTACCATGGGGTGCATCTGGATGAATGGTTGAAGGTTCTCCGCTTGAAGTTTCTTTTAGCCCGTCCGTTTGTGAGAGGATCTCTACTGCTCTCCCTGTCGCACAGAAAATAAAAATACAAGTGGCCTTTAGGGGAAAAAAATCATACATATTTTAATAATATCAAGAATTACCTTCAGGCTCAATTTGTATCTGGTCGAGGCTCTTTCCTTCGAATTCCGTCACTCTTCCCTGCTCCATGGCCATCAACACTTTGCTGATTTTGGCCAGCTCCAGTGTCCCCTCTGGTAGTCTGTAATATTGCCTGTGGATGCGAATGTCATGGCCGAGGAAGTTGGCAAGTATGTCCATCTCATTCTCTTTCATATTGAGAACTGTAGACATAGTAGCTATGTGCTTTCTAAGTTTGGTTGAGGATAGCATCTCTGGATGCACCGCACCACATTCTTTGGCTACCTGGCGTAGGGAGTCTGATCCCCTGATGTGGGTGTCTGCGCCCGGGCGGGAAAAGAAGTATGGGTTATGGTCAGAGATGGAACAGGCCCTTCTGTTCTCCACCAGCACCTCCATCGAAGCAATCATTTCAGGAGTCAAAAGAACCGGCACTTTCCGACTTCTTTTCCCTTTAATTTCAATGCGTTGAAAATGCTGACACAGCTTTTTCTCAAGTTGGGACAGTCCCAGAGCAATGTCAGAATGGATCCCAGTCTTACTTCTTAAGGTAAACGCTGTCAGTGGCATCTTTGAAACCTCACCCTTCCCTTCTTCGATTGAAAATAATGACCTCACAAAGAGTCAAAACTGCCAGTTTAGACCAATGCTTAGACGTTGGCTCACTTATTAGGGTTTGCACATATTCAGGTCGACATACCTCAATATGTGCATGCATGGCTCTAACGTCCTCAGTCAGAGGGAGCAGGTCCGGAGTGTTCCACTTGGCTTGCCGGAGGGTCTGTAGGGCAGCAGAAGAAACACAGACGTCCCACCTCTTCTCAAAAAGCAGCCGGCTTCGTTGGAGGTTTTTAATAAATAGTTCATCAACACAATGCTCCATTTTTGAGTCACATTCAAGAATATCTGCTAGCTTTCTGAGGCTATGGCCGAGTTTGAGGGCCAAGGATGGAGTCTTGTATTGATTTGTTTCCTCATCATATCCAGCCACAGACCTGACTGCATCAATCACATGGTTAAAGTTGGAAGGAATAAAGAAATCCTTAATTGTTTTCAGTTTCCCTGCGGTTTTTGCTTCGTTAATTAACCTACCGACTTCTCTCATTTTCTGCCTAATGTAATCATGCTTAGTCTTATCATGCCCGTGTTTTAAGTACAGGTGCTCTCCGAGTCTCAGAATCCCCTTTTCTGCTTTGACAACACCCGTGACCTCATCCTGATGCATTGCCGAAATTAAAGACCACAGCTTTTTGCTGATGCCCTCCGGTACAGGCTGGGCTAGGGAGCAGAGGGACTGGACCCTACTTCTACCTGGTTTAGCCTGGGCATCTTTCTGTGAAAGCCGGCACCTGGCCACATGCCTCCACAGCGACTTTCGCTTAAGCAATGCCCCACAGTCTATACAGTGCAAAAACTCACTGGATTTAACTGGGCAATTTGGCTGTTTAGCTGGGACTAAAGTTCCAATGCCGGCCTTTAAAACCTCAAAATTGTGCTCACGGTTTCCACTATTCCTGATCAAATCAAACTGAAGTTTACGTGCTTTAGATTTCACAGGTAGAGCCAATGCTCTGGCTACGTCACTTTCATTTCCATGTTTTCTAGTCAAATGACGGGACATTTTGTGGCAGGACATTGAACAGTAGAGGCAGAAGTGCCTCTTGCTGTAAACTCGCCCCCCATTTTTCTTCTTTTGCAGCTGCATGATAACAATCTTATTTGCCTTTGGTTCGTCACTTTCCGAGTCTTGAAGAAAAGTGTTTTTGATTTTTCTTTTTCCATACTTTTTTACAGGTTTCTTCTTGACAGTTAAATCGTCAGAATCTGAGTCGACTTCATCAATTAGGGACTCTTGACTAAGCTGCACAAACAACAAATAATTTGTAATCATTCTATATAACAATTTGAAGTCATGACTTGTAGTCAGCACTTACCAGTGGTTTGTAAGCGTGCGCTTCAGTGTGCTGCTCTGTGATTGGCTGCAGCCTAATGAACCACACACTTGCACCTTTTCTAGCCTGACACCTGATTTCCTCTGTTGTGCTGCTCCATGATTGGCTCCAGCCTCTGTTGTGCTGCTCCATGATTGGCTCCAGCCTGCTGGACTGAAATTGCCCCAGTGTGCCCCTCCTTGATATCCCGCAACCCACCACCAGGGTTCC